GAATCACTATTTAGGAGACTATTTCCTCATTCTTTGATCGGGAAAGCGAAGGAATGGTATCTTGATCAGTCTACAACAGTAATGACGGATTGGAACTTATTGGAAGAAAAGTTTCTTGAACGATTTTTTCCACACAACCGGTTCATGGAAGAAAAGACGACAATTGTTGTATTTTCACAAGGAGGAAATAAATCCCTCAATGAAGCTTGGGAGAGATTCAAGTCAATGTTGAGAAAATGTAAAGGACACGGTTTTGATGAACTTACGCAAGTTCACATTTTCCCCAATGGTCTCCTCTCGGTTCACAAGACTTTGTTGGATGCTACAACGGGGGATTCATTGATGTCTAAAAGTGTCGAGGAAGCAATTGCAATCATTGACAAGATGGCGCTTAATGATCACCAAGGGAATCATAACTGTGGAGTAACTCAAAGAAAACCAGGAGTGCTAGAGTTGGCGCTTAATGTCATCATTTACAACTTAAATACCATTTCTTGGTCTGCTGCTTTTTAAACCAAATTTCTTGTTGAAGTTCACTCCATAGTATGTTTGGAACTTGCTCAAGCTCTTACTTGCTCTAGAATTCATTAGTTTTGATCATTAAACTCAAAGGTGCATTTCCAAAACTCACATTGCATGAGCATTCGAATTTTACTTTGCGTGCATCATTTGGGAAAATGGACAGCACCATCATCATCCTTGTGAAAAATTGAGTGAGATAGACTTTTATTTCACTGAAATTGGTGGAGAATTGAAGAAGTTATGGCGAAATCGTTTTGGAGTTTCTTCACTTGTCTTGCCTTGCCTTGCCCAGGATATGCGTTTGTTTTTGGTACATGTTTTACTGGGGTGGCTTGATACGACGAATGAACCGTCACCCCAGTGGTTGTAACTTTGCCCTTAAATGCCTTATCATGCCATTGGATCTGAGTTCGACCCCAGTGGGGGCGTTTTTTGCTCGTTTTTCAGCCCCCAAAGTTTTGGGTTTAAGCCTTGGGTGAGTCAATTCCTTCTTTTTAGCAACCTGTTTCTTTTTATTTTATTTTATTTTAATTATTTCTTGTTTTATTTTATTTATTTAAGAATAGTTTTAAATATCATAAAATCCAAAAAAAAAAATCATTTTTTAATATTTCTAATGTGTTAAATTATTTTTCATCATTTTTATTTTATTTTCCATTTATTTTTATTATTTTATTTTTTTGAATTTACAAATTAATGTACTTTGTGGTTTGTCACTTGTTCATTGCATGTTTTCCTCCCCCTATTCCTTGTTTGTTGCATCCTTTCTTTGCATCATTTGTTTGCATTGCATGTTGACTTGTCCAAGTCAATTTCTTTTCTTTCTTATTTCATTTGTGAGTGAATTATTTAGTGTTTACTTGGCCTTGTGTCATGATCCCCCTAGGATTCCTAGTCCCTCCGTTCAGGATGGGAGTATGAGAGACATTAGGTGTTCAATCCTATGCATGACAACATTAGGTTAGTTCTTCCCTTTCATTCCAACTTTAGGAGCATTGTGTATGACAACTTTAGGGTCCAGTTTCCCCTTGGTTTGTGTCCTCCTTTTCTCATCTCCTAACACTTCAAAAACACTTAATAAAGAACAATTTATGTTGTACGCTGCGAGCCTTAAGTACTTGAGAAATGATGGTTGGGGGGTCTCCTCTCAATTGTCTAGATTGTTTAGCGTATTTCCTTTGGACGATATGCGACGCGTTCGCTCTCGAGTCATAGTCTTTAGTGCGACATGAGTTACAAACTTAATTCAATTCATTTCTCTCATAAAAAACACACAAAAAAACATCAAACCATTTTATCCTTCGGGATTAATTGAAAACCATTTTCAAAGAGAGTGTCGTTAACTCTTGGTTCTACCGCAAACAGGTAACGCCTAAGTCTCCAATGGTCGAGCTGCATACACCTAACTGCTAGAACTAAGGTTTACCCCTACTCAGTTTAAAACACTTGAACCAACCAATGGTCTTGTTAGCCCAAACTACGTTTGCTCTGATTTCTCATAGCAGATGAGGATACGTAGGCACAAGACGGCGATGTCTTTGCGAGCAACCTTCCCCCCATCACCCGTAGTTTCCCGAACTACGTTGACTCTGACTTTCCCATTGCACGAGGGAATACGTAGGCATAGAGCGGCAATGCTCTATCGAGTCTCTTTTCTTTTCTTTTGTCCCCGGGGTCAGCCTGTAGCTTAGTTTGTTTTTACACCCTTTTAGATAGACAACAAGCGTGGATCCCGTCGAGTACGACAGACGTGAAGGATACTAATACCTTCCCCTTGCGTAACCGACTCCGGAACCCGAGATTTGGTTGCGATGACCTGTCTTTTCCCTTTTCGTTAGGTTTTCTCTGATCGTTTCCTTTCCCTCTCTTTGGGATAAATAACGAACGGTGGCGACTCTTCTGTCTTCTGTCGGCCTTTTTCGCAGTAGCGACACATTGCATAATGAGTTATATGCATATTTGTTGAATTGCAATTGGTTGAATGAGTATAGGTGTGAGAATGTATTGTGATATTCTATGGATGAGAATGTGTAGAATATGTTGTATTTGATATCCTACCTTGCAATATATTTTAGTTACTATTATTGTGATTTCTCACCCCTTTGTTGTTGTGACTTGTGCTCCTCTTCGGAGTACAGATAAGCATGTAACTAGTAGTTGTTTAGAGTTGGAGGAATGCACGAGAGTGTTTCTTTTTTTTTTTCTGTGTTTTAGTTTACGTACTCTGAAATGTAACACTGGAAAACGTTTGTGAGTTTTGTCTAATCTTTTCTTTAGAAAGTTAATGTCACTCTCATGTTCGATATTGCATTGTTTTGAGGAGATCCATTTATGAGTTTGATTATGCTATAAAGTGCATTTGGAGTTTAAATGATTTAATTATTAGGTTTAATACCACTTTTGGTCCTTTAACTTTAGTCAATGTTTCTCTTTGATCCTTAAAAAAAATGTTACATAGTGATCCATTAACTTATACTCTGTTACATATTTTAGTCCTTTCCGTTAGTTTTTGGTGAAAAAACGTTAAACTTTGATTAGCTGGACATTTAGTTGCTGAGTTGGAATATTTATTTATTTTATATTGATTAAAATATTACACATTTGACCAAGCTAATGACACAAAAATCATTCCTCTATGCAGAAGTTCAACACTCTCTCATGAAAGAAACTCTTTCTTCCATTTCTTCTTCTTCTCAATTTTCACCTCAACCTCTAAACCTTTATCATTTTTTTCAATCTTTCCCCCTCTAAGATGCAGAACAAACCCAAAATTCTAAAGATTGAAAAACTTTACCCTTTGTGTTTTCATGGAAGATCCAAAACAGGATACTCAAATGAAAATTGATGAAGAAAAAAATCACCCATTTTAGTTGTATCACAGAAAATGGAAGAGAAATTAGCAAATAAAATTAAGAGAAATTGAAAGAAAAACAACCACTCCAACACCAATTTCATCATCTCTCTCAATAAACTTCAACAATTACAAAACTAAGCATCAACTTTTTCAACCTCTAAACTTTCATCAACTTTTTCGACCTTAAACCGTCACTACAAACCTTTATTTCCTCACCTCCAAAAATCAAACCCAACACTTATCTTTTTCCCTCTAAAATGTAGAATAAAACCAAAATTTCAAAAATTGAAAAACTTTACCCTTTGTGTTCTCATGGAAGATCCAAAACAAGATACTCAAATAAAAATTGAAGAAAAACAACCATCCATTTTAGTTGTGTCACAAAAAATGAAAGAGAAATTGGCAAAAAAAAAATGGTGTTGTTGTAAGTTCCAATCTTCAATTTTCTTTTAGTATTTTGGAAAAAGAAATGGAAGATGAAGAAAATATGAATCAACACTATAAATAGAAGATGGAACCCATGAACCGTAGAGTGTTTTTAACAAAGAAGCTAAATGTTGAACATTCCATTTGCTTATCTGGCATGTCATCTCAGCCATAATTAATATTTTCTCACACAAACTAACGGTAGAGACCAAATGGTTTAACGAAAGTAAAGTTAAGGGAACATTATGTAACGTTTTTTAGTTTGAAAGGCAAAGCGAAACTTCACTCAAAATTAAGGGACCTAAGAATTAATTATGCCTAATTATTACATGCTATATTGTGAGAGATTTCACTACAATGATACCTTAAATAAAGGTGAGCATTGATAAAATCCTAAGTGAAAGTTTTGATTGGTGATATTTTTGTTAACGTGTTAGAGGACATGTAAGTTTTGAAAAGAGAATGTGTGACATCCTATTTGAATGTGTGAATATTTTGATTTTAATATATATTTATACGCAGAAAAAAAAGGTGTTAGAAGAGGCACATTACAACACTTGTATGCTTTTTAGCCTGAATTTTATTAAAAATAAAGCATATGGGTTGGTTCGAATTAATATGAAATTTTTTTTTACACTCATTCCAATTTTTGCCAATAAATCTATGAGATATCATTTATAAAATGGCCGCATTGAGACCAAATATCACTTATAGAACCGATTCCTATAATTACAAAAGCAATATCACTTTTATATATTATCATTATAAACATTGTCCTTTTATCATTCCATGGAATGTGGATGTGAGAATGGGCGGTGTATAGACGAGAAATAAAATATAGAGAAGGAAAAATGTAAAATAAAATATAGAGAAGAAAAAATGTGAAAAAGTGTCACGCGGTTTGGTAGGGAAAATAAGAGCCAGAAAGAGTATCTGCTTGAGCATCAATGTTTATCCTCATGAAGATCTTCACCAAAAACTACTACTTCTCAAAGATGCTCACTCATTTTTTGAAGGCTAATGAGAGTCATTAAAACCCTCTGTCCATGGTCATTAAGTTATTCTTTCCATCTTTTTATCAAGGTGCTTGAGCCTCTAATTTTTATAATGGACTAAATAAAAATGTTAGATCTGCCTACATCTATAAAATAATGTTTCTACTCAAAATCTTACTAAAGATTCAAAACGTCTCAGGAGGCTATTTTTGGTTTAAGACAGATTCAAGTTGAATTATTTGTCCATCATGCCCCGGGTAGATCTCACATCGATAGAAGCTGCACAGAACAATCAACTCTAGGTTATTAACATGAACGATCACTTGGTAGTAGCAAGCATTATATCACAAGCAACTATGATAAATAAAATGACGGTAAACAGCACACAGCAGAGAATTGTTTCTTTGGAAAAAAGAATTAGTAGCAGTTAGAAAAGAATTGGATGGGAATAATTTTAGAGGATGGGTTAGAAAGGAGGAATCTTAGGGGAAGTAATTAGTTAATATGGTATATAGAATGTTGATGAGGGATTATGTTGGGACGGGGATGAGTTTAATCAAAATATTTGACACGAGTTCAGTCCTTTAAAGTTGGGTTTGGAGCTTTTTTTAGTAGTTGCTGTGGCTTTTTAAGCTTTTTTTTATCTAACTTATTCTATTTTTAGTTTCTATTCTGGCATTTCTTGTACTTAATGTTAGTTCTTTATTATTAATATATAAAAAATAAATAAAAATGGACACCAGCAGATAATTACATCTTCTTAAACATTACCTTCCATCCATGCCAAGAATTGTGAGTATATTATTTGAGTCGCCAAACGCAATAGTGTAACGACAGCCTTCATGCAAGCGAAACTGAGCAACTGACCACTCTGAATTGAAATAATTTGGCAAGATTCCTGCAAAAGAAAAATTAACACGGATTAACAAGGACAAAAGGAATCATAAATTATTCACTAAATATCATTAAAATACAATTATGTTAAACTGAAGCCATAAAATAATTCCTAGACCTTCATCAAGTCTGGAGCAATTAAACTAAGAAACTAAGGAGAAACTCAAACCCATAGAAAAAGAAAAATAATAGACTACATATGTGGCTGTGAAGACTAAATTGAACTCAATTACACGAAAGTAGATTTGTGTTATACAGCCAAACTAAGACAAATATAATCCAATGACATGAGATGGAATAGAATTAAATTCTATAGTTTGGATTATTTAAAATTGAATGGGGAGTGGCATCGATTCCATTTCATTCCTGGGCATATCACCATTTCACTCCGTTCCATTCCACTCCACTCTATTTCATCCAAACATAGCCTTAAAGTTGGGTCAACTGTTGGGCAACTGTCGGGATTACTGTTTTTAAGAGTGATACAGGAAACAGAGCTAAACTAGAAAAGGTGGATCTTTTGATAAAAAGCAATTGACAATAGAATTTAATTAGGCGAAAATAATAACAAAAGAAAACACATATTCTAAGTTTAGAGATAACAGAGAAATTACTTCTAAATTTAATGGATGAAAGATATGAGCTTGACGATGTAATAGAAGCACCAGAATTTGATGAACTTTGTGACATTTTATGCTCACTGTTGCTGATATCAACCTTAAGGTAGAAGACATGAAGAGTACCCTTGTCACTAGAGACTGCCAACCACTGTGCAGTAGAAGAGAATGCCATACTATAGATCTCTGCTGAAATTGTACCCCTTCTTACCTAAGTTTAATTCCAAGAAATTTGCATCTCAGTTGGGAAAAACAAATAAAAATTATAAAAGAATTTCCATACATCTATAGCTAAAAATAAAATTATTAAATAAATGAGCATATTTCTATTCCATATAATTATGGATTTCGGCTGTAGATACGGGAGAGTATGCCACTACATAATAGAAAAGACTCATAAATAATAACCTTACACAAAATATCCAGTTAGTTCTATGCACTAAAAACATTAAACAATGTTTCAAAAATTGAAACAGCGAGTCCTCGGATCATGGTTCTAACGTTTTAAATGGGACAAAACTGCAATCGGACGGGGATTACTGTTGATAGTACCAGTCCAAAATTCAACTAGCTGAACTATCTGGTTCAGTTTTTAAAACATCTCCCTTAATTGAATAAACTAGAATCTCAAAAGTTTTAAAACATTTCCCTTAATTGAATAAACTAAAGAATCTCAAAATGTTAAACTTAATAATGACAGACACACAAATTGATACCCATATGATGAGACTACAAAACAGTCTGAAATTTAAATCATCCAAACTATAAAAATCAAGACCAGTACTTGACAATTATTTAACCCCCGAGCATTGTCTTCATTATACTAAGTTACTACTAAAATCTTGAGTGCCAAACATTTATTAGTGTATATTTCCTGACCAGAACAGAACATAGTGGGTTTTAAGAAGTATATTCAGTGCCACCCCTAGCTTATATTTGATTCATGACCAGTTACTTGATAGCTAAGAAATCAATTCAAAAACTAAGTGGGTTTTAGGTTCAAAATATGTTAATATACACTAAATGAACTCAACAATACTACAATTAACATACTTCCTGAAGCAGAGCACCATTCCCCGTATCAAAGACGCGAATGAGTGTGCCCTTAGTGCTAGCAGTGGCGAGAAACTTTCCATCAATAGTAAGAGCCAAACAAGCTAATTGCGAATCATGAGCCCTAATGCAATTGATTTTGTTCTTCGGATAGTGTTCCACACGCACATGACCTCTCTGCAATCCCGGACACACCAGAACAATCGATTCTTTGAGCTGTGAAACAACACATAACCCCTTAGGGTTCCCACAGGTTCCAAACTCACAAAGAAACTTCAAGTCCCCGAAACTGTAAACAAAAACCATAAACTCTAATACCACCACAATCCTATCCTGCCGGAGACGAACACCGCGAACGGCACTTTGAAAGGATAACATCCCGACAGACTCACAGCGGTAGTCATCCCAGATTACAACACTATTTCGAGGGAACTGAGGGTTGGACCCACCACCGACTAAAGCCAGTATGTTAGTCTGGTGAAGCATCTCGACGTGGATGAAACCGTCACGGGGAAATACTCGTTGGAAAAGCTGACGGAGGGGATCGCAGCTGAAGACACGAAATCCAGTTTTCGTTGAGGTGGAGAAGCAGGTGTGGTCTTGGTTGAAGGAGATGGAGAGGAGCGAGGAGGAGGGAGATGGCGGCGAAGACGGTTGAGATTGGTGAAGCATTGTTGTTTAGGGTTTGGGTTAGGGTTTGGGTTTGGGAATGGAGTTGAAGAAGAAGAGTGGCCATTGGAAGTTCAAATAATACACTTTGCGATCGTTTTTTCAGTTGGAAAAGAATCTTTGGTTTCTGTTAGTAACAAACTTGAAGCGTAACTAGGATTTCGCATATTCAATTTTAATCAACGATGATGATGAGGGCGGTTATTTCGTCTTTCTAGATTTTTATAGTTAGTTTGCTTTTCTGATTGATTTTTTAAGGAAAAATATCATTTTTAATTTTGAATTTAAATTGCTTTTTTCAATTTTTTTTGTCAAATTAATCTTTTAACTTTTTAAAATGTGTTATATTAAAATTTTAATATAATTAATAATGAAAAAATTTAAAAGTTAATGATAATTAAATAAAAAATTAATATAATACGTTTTAAAGAATTCAAAAACAAATTTAATATGAAAAACTAAAAAACAATTTAAACCAAGTAATAATTAGGGAAAAAAGGAATTTTTTTTAATTAGCAATTAAACATTATTAGTCTAATTAACAAGTCAATAAATCTAGCTAATTAATAAATAAATAATTTGTTTATTTAATTGATATACACAATAAAGAAATTTTATTCAACGCAAAATATTTTGACTTTTATTTTTATATGTTTTAAATAATATAATTGAATTTATAAGATAAGGGCAGTTATTCCAAAAATAAATTTTTATAATTTATTTTACAATCATAATTTTTAATTAAATTTAATCGAATGGTTATAAGTAAAAATGTTAGTTTAATAATTAGATTAGATTTAATTTAAAATTTATGATATAGAATAAGTTAAAAAAAAATTATAGTTTTAAAATAAGTTGATCTCCACTAGGGCTGGAAATGAGTCGAGTCGAGTCGAACTCACCTCAGTTCGGCTCGACTCGTTAAGAATTGTTCGAATTCGAGTTCGAGTTCGAGTTCGACACGAACTTTTTTTTAAGCTCAAACTCGACTCGTTATAAGTTCACGAACAGTTCGGTTCGACTCGTTAGGTCCATCTCATTAGGTTCAGCTCACATGGTTCACGAACTTAAAAACTATTTTTTAAAATATATATATATATATATATATATATATATATATATATATATATATATATATATATATATATATATATATATATATATATATATATATATATATATATATATATATATATATATATATATATATATATATATATATAGTATATTTGACATTTTAAATAAATAAATATTTTTAAATAAAATATTAAAATAAAATAAAAGTTATCGTATTGAAATTTAACTTTATCTTCGAAATCTACTAATTCAAAACCTACACAACTTTCAAGAGATACATTTGAGAGTCTAATTCAAAAACTACTAAATTGAAGATTAAATTTGTCTAAGATTTGAAGTAAATATTTAAACCTAATCTTAAAGACAGTATAATTCTTTTCATATGTAATCGAGTTGACTCATGAACCTAACGAGTCGAACTATGTATAGTTCAAGTTCAGCTCATTTAGTTAACGAACTTAATTTTTCGCTCATACTCAACTCATTTGGTTCATGAACCTAGTTCAACGATTTAATTGTCGAGTCGAATTCCGAACTATCTTCGAGTTGGTTTGGTTAATTGCCAGCCCTAATCTCCACTCTTATAAAAATAAATAAAAGAGATTTGTGTTTTTGATCTAACTATTTTTTCTTCTAAGATTATCTTTTAATTTTTCTTTAAAATAACCGTACATGAACTAAGAAATTAATGGAGATTACTTCATTCCTTCGATTTGTATAGGTTTTTTTATGTATTTTCTAAATTAATCTTTAGAAAAGATGTATAATTGAGAAAAATAAATTAATTTAATTTTATAAATATAATGAAATATAACTTCAATTGATTTGACAATTTTTGTTATGTATTACACATTATTATTACTTTTATTTTTTATGAAATTAGATTAGTTTAGAAATATTTAAGAAAACATGTTAGGTTGGATATTTATTTGTAAAAATAGATTATTTAAATTATTTTATATATATACAATAAAATAACAAAAGGCACTTAAGATTAGATTTACAATTTTTTTTTCCTTTTGATTTGTTGGAATCAATAGCATGTTATAATTTTATGTTAAATTGATTTTATTATGATTCTTATGCGAGTAGAAGCAAGATTTATATATATATATATATATATATATATATATATATATATATATATATATATATATATATATATATATATATATATATATATATATATATATATATATATATATATATATATATATATATATATATATATATATATATATATATATATATATATATATATATATATATATATATATATATATATATATATGACTCCATAATATTTTTTATACAGAGAATAATCCATTCCTATTTTATTGTCCAATTGCACTATATTTGTAATCCATTCCTATTAATAATTAACTTTCTACTTAAAATATGCATAGTTATTTGCTTGCCGATGACTTTAAAATAACTCAAAATACTCCCTCTGATTTATAATAATCGATTCAATTGATTGTTTCATTTAACTAAAAATTGTATAAAATATTTTTGATAAAATATATTTTATTAAATATTGAAAAATGCTAAAAGTAATATTTTTTATACGTGAATTTAAATTAAGAGAGATACTAGTGATACCCAACCTAATTACATTAAGAAAAGTGACAAAAACAAACCAACTCAAAAATAAGTAATAGGAAAATAACACCAATTTTTCCAAACAACCTCCTTACTAAATATAATACTTTATCTGTGGCACAATAGATACTTAATTTGAAATTTTTATATTTTTAAGATAATAACTAATTGTGTTAACTTTAATAATAAAACGAATGTTATTTATTAAATAATTTTATTAATATATGTAGTAATGCAGTTAGATAATTTAAATTACAATAAATAAGAATAAATTAATAAAAAAATAATAAATATCACATTGATATTTTAGAGGAACAAATAAAAATAGAAAAATAACATCATATAATAAAGTATTAGTTAGATAATAAAAAAAGTAAAAAAAAATATTATATTGAAAATTAAAAATGATTATCTATTTTAAAACAATTTTATTTTGTAAATGAGTCACTAATGAATAATAAATATTACAAATAATTTTTAAGAAAGTTGAAAAGAATAACCTAGCGCTTTGATATGGATAGGTTTAGAATAATTTAAGAGAGATAATGAGGGATGCAAACACTATTAGATATACTGTGCTTTTCTGCGAACATTTCCGCAAGGAATGCGTTACCTGGGTTTTTCTGTGTGTTCTCAGCTAAAACCTTAATTATTTTAGCGGATAGAAAAGAATCGCAGGTAAATTTGCAGAAAAAATCCTGAGAAAAAATCTATCATCACATGCAAATTTGTTGATAAAATCCGCAGGTAATTGAAGTTTTTTTACAGTAAATTTAAAATCCACGGTTAATTTTTTTTCTCAAGTAACAATAATATAAAAAATAAAATCTAATTTAAATAAGATAATTTAAAATTAATCATATTCAAATTTTTAAAACAACTAAATCGTTAAATATTATTATAAAATCAATAAGAAGTACTTTTACAGTTATATTATTAAAAGTGACACAACCAAACTATTAATAACACTTGTCCAACCAAGTTAATAAAAAAAAACAATCAAAATTTCAGACAAGTTAACAAGAAAAAAAAAAAAATATATATATATATATATATATATATCAAAATTCACAACTAATGTGTTCACTAACGTCTTCATTTAATTCATCAACACCATTTTCATTTGGGCTGTTTCATTATTGGTTTGGGATGTATGAAAAGAAGATACAATAAATCTCAAATGATTCATTAACCATGAAAGTTTTTTTTTTTCATTTCTTTTTCTTGTCATTGCATTTGTTGCTTCATCTCCAACTTCTCTTTTTCTTGTATTTACAATGATGCATTGAGAGCATAAACTTGACTTCACAAATCATCAACCTATTGAGAGTTACTCGAAAGACTTGGTTGAGTTGATAATAGAACCAAAGTCTTGGCAAGGTTCTAAGACTAAATACCCTCCCTTTCTTCTTTACAAACGACTCCACCCATATATTCAAATTAGGCGGCATTTCAACAGTTGACTGTAAAATTCATTACAAAGTTGAATTTTGAAAAGAAATCGCCAACTTTTTAAGTTCAAATCCATCTTAAAAGAAATTTTAAACAAATAATCATTGTATAAGATATCCATAAATAATTCTTACAAACTTACTTAGCAGCAATGAGATTTAGAAAACATAATTATTGTTGAGTGTACTTAAGAAAACATGACACAAATTATTCAGTAAAATAACATTTTCGGCCTAAATAAGGCATGTAAAAGAGGTATAATAAATGTTGGAAGCAAGCAGCATTTATATTAACATTGGTCAAAACTCAACAAAAATAGCACTACAGATTCCTTATTGCATGACAATACCTATTGGGTATTACGAAATCAATGGGCAAATAATTCCTTGTACTTTTCCAGGAACCTTGATTCAGAAAGAAAGACCAAGAACCATTGCAATGCCAACGACACATGCCACCATTATGCAATAGACATTGTGTTAAGAACTACCTTCATATTATACCACAGAGATCTAACCAGCTGGGAACAATAATTTCATGTCATTTTGCAATTTAACCGACTAACAACTTATTAAATACTATAATTTTTTGTATACAGTCATATGTAATATTCAAGGACTCCAACCAGTATACACATAAAATATAGAATACAAATTACAGGAGCGGAGATAATGAGATCTAACTTCCTTTTGGAACTCACGATGGCTGGACTCATTGCCTTTGTACAGAAGATTCTCACTGTTATATGAATCTTCTTCTAATAAATATGGTGTTGTGAATGAGATGAGGCAATGGAAGGCAGATGTATGGATATGGAACTTAGGCTTTCAACAATCGCTTTTGGTGGGTGAGCTGCGAACTCAGTATGTGGA